TGGCACGTCCTCGTGGCTCGCCCCCTGGCCCGTTCCGTCGCACGTTTGTTGGCGCGTACCTTGACGCTTTTAGTGACGCGTCCCCTGACACGTTCCGCGGGGCGTCTGCTGGCACGTCTCCTTGCTCGTCCCGTGGAGGGAGAAGAAGGAGTTCGGGGAAGAGGGGAAACGGGACAGGATGGATGTGCGAAGGACGGAAGGGCGCGATACTGGGGAACGTGCAGTGGAGTTGAAAAAGGAGGTGGCCGAGGTTGGGACCGAGGGAAAGAGAGTGGGGGGGGAGGGTTGAAGGGGGAATGGAGGGGGAATGGAGGGGGAGTGAGGGGGCGATGTGGGAGGAGGGTGTTCGTCCACCCCTCGCCGCGAGGTCGAGCGCGAGAGCATTCCAGGCCCGACCAGCCGCTCCCCCCGCGCTACCTGCTGCTTCGAATATCGCCTGCAGGATCGGGCATGGCCTCGTAGCGATTCATCGGAACCAGTTTGCACTATATGTACATCGGCGAAGCAATGGCGACGCGCACGCTCAGACATTTTGCATTATATGCTCGGTGGCGGACGCTTTTTGATCATACCGCTCGGAAGAGATACATTACAAGATTTTGTCCTAGATGTTTGGGTCGGACGTGCGTCTCCAACACAGGCACATAGTATTAATGTGCCATTGTGCGTCCCAGTTCAGCTCATACGCAGCTCACGCCTCCTCGTCTTTTTCCCCCTCATTCGGTACGAACCTGAGCTGGGCAGCGCACAGAGCCAGCAGAAGCCTGGAAGCATAGCCACAGCCTGGAACGCGAGCCTGCACCGATGCGTGCACTGGACAAAGGGGGGCCTCGTGGCCCAGGGGCAATGTGGGCGGTGGCAAAAATCAGGGGGGAGAATCGACGGATCGAGAGGAGCGTAGGCATCGGTTGCCGAGGTGCCAGGCTGTCGCTGCCCTGTCGGCCTTGAGGGGGAGCGAGCAGCAGCACGGCAGAGGCGGGGGTGTACGCTCTGGGCCCGCCTTGAGTGACGCCGAAAGCTCCGCCGCGGGCTCCTTGCTCCCCGAGAGGTTCGGGGTCGCCCGCGCAGGAGCGGAGGCTCCATGATCCTCAGGACACGTGTTGGCCGAGCGTGTGGCCCGAGGCGATGCAAATGTGCCTCGCCTGGCCGTCACCATATTTCGACGGCGCGGTCCTCCTGCTGCTCCTCCACTTGTTGCACACCGTCCCAGGAACCGGAGGCCGCCTGCGCGCCCCTCGCCCGTCGATTCGGCGGTTGGGCCTCCTCCTTCCCACTCCGCGGTGCCTCTCTGCTTTTCCTTTTGCTCCGTGCGCCCCGCGCCCGCCACGCCCTGTCGGTTCGGACCCTCGCGTCCGGGTCCGCTGGCGCTACCGATCAAAAGTGTTATCCGAAACGTGCGGCTCTCCCGTTCGGCCATCATTGCATCGACTGCGCCGTCTTGAAGTGTTTCGGTGGACAAGCGCACGTTGGCGCTAACCCACGTTCTGGGGATCATCGAGAGGTAGTCGCACCTCGCGCCTCGTTCCGCTCGGGTCGGAGCCCTCCCCAGGGCGCGAGGGTGCGAGGGCGCGGGGATGGTCGCGCGTCGCGCCTCGCGGGGCGCGATCCGCGAGCCTAGTGACTACCCGGAGGATACTTTGGTTTCCCAGCCCTTTGGTGCGTAACGGTCGCCACCCAGCACCCCCCACCCCGGGCTAGCGGTAACGATCGAGTGCAGGGGGCGGGGGGTCGGAACCTTCCCCCGTCTTGTTGATGCCCGCGGGCTTGCCATGGGGACTGCAGGACGCCCCCGCCCCGACGTGGCCCACCCCGCCCAAGCGTTACCGTTGCCTGGGGCCCCACACCCACTCTTCCGAGGCCGGGATCTGTCCATAACCGCCGCCTCGGGGTTCGACTCTCGGGGACGTCGGCAGGCAGTGGATACGGATATACCCGTGCCCAGGGAGGGCCAAACTTTCCGTCTCCACCATCCGCTGGGGTCCAATATGTCGTCGGTGCCGCAGGCGGTGGATGTGGTCACAACCCCGCCTCGCACATCCTCCCCCGCCCTGGTAGTGACCTTTACCGGAAGTTCTAAAGATACAGTGTCGAGAGGCATGTGCAGTGCCGCCGTCCTTCGCTCCGCCCCCCCCCCCTCGGGCGACGAGGCGGCGCCCCCCCCCCCTGGCGTGCGCGCGGCCCTGCCCACGGGCATCCCCTGCGCCTTGCTGGGGGGGGGGGCGCGGCGCCCGACTTCTCCGTGGCGGCCGAGCAGCTGGGCCCCCGCTCAAGGACGTGAGCACCGAGCTCGTCCTTCGGGTCCATCTCTGGGGATGATTGGGGAGGGATTCGACGTTCGATGTTTTCGGGCGATTTCGTCGTCTCTCGGCGGCTATCCAGACTCGGGGTGCTTTCCAGCAGCTGCGCCTCGCTGAGGCCGTTTCGGGGATCTCTGGATCGTCCCGAACAGCCGCCGGAGACCCGAACGATGGTCCAGAAACCAGCCGGTGGGGAGCGTTGGCGGCATCAATGACATAACTTGGGCACTCATGGCAATCAACATTTCAGAAGGGAGGGGTACGGAGGACCAGTGTGTGACCGCAACACAGCATCCACCTTGTTCCTCGAGAACTAAGGCTCTTCTCGTCCCGCCCAAGTGGGTACGGCTTCACCCGCAGTAGCGCTAGGCGGACGCTCGCTAGTTCGCTCCGGGGCGTCTAGTCCAAGAGGTGAGGAAGAATTGGGGTGGTGGTGGATGTAATGGCCAGGGCCATCAAGTCTCCCAGGTTGCATGGCCCCTTCTTCTTCTGTCAACGCATCTTCGTCTGGCCCCCCTCGTCCGCGCATATGCCTCGGGCCATGATGCGCTAACCCTCCTCTTCGTGGCCCCCCCTCTTCGGCGGACCCAGGTCCGTTCCGCATGAGGCTCCAAAGGCTACTAACATTCGCGTGGGCGGGTCAAAATCCAATGTACGTCAAACGCCTGCCAACTTCTTGTTTCTACTAACTTCCAACCAGCGTGTAGCCCAAAGGGGTGTTGAGGAGGGCCAATGGGGTTTAGGGCCAAAGGGATACCCGTTCTCTCAGGTTTCTCGCCTGTCATCGCCAGGCCCCTTACCAGCCCCAGAACCAATCTGGGATAGCACAGGCGACCGCAAGAGGCGAAAGCCGGGCCTTCGTCATCCTGGCCTGCTGCTGCTGCTTCTCACATCGTGCCCTCCTCGGTCTAGCCTCGGCCCAGGCCGCATCGCGCAGCTGGCCGGTACCCAGGCGTGGCGCGCCAGCAAGGTGCGCCCGGTGCACGCTGGGCTCTCCCCTCCCCCGCTGCTGGCTGGGCTCCTGCTTCACCGGCGCTACAGTGTGCGTGCGCCCAGGCGCTCCTGGCTTGCTTCCCTATGGCATTTCGCCTCAGAGTTTCCCGGAAAAGGCGTTCGCCTGTAAGTAAACACTTGCGTTGGAGATTGCATTCGGAGCGTGGCCAGTGATTTCTTTGCCCAGCGCGATGGAGAATTGCCGCTGGTGTTTGGATGGGTGCGACGATTGGAAGATGTTCCAGACCTGGCCAGTTGCAGAACCAGTTGTCGCTGAAATTGGCAGACATAATGAGAGTGAAACGAGAAGGGTCACAATTATGTGGCAGAGTGGTTCATGAGCAGCTTTCGATTTGTTATTTTCAGTCTCAATAGCAAGCTCATACTAGTTTATTGCTGTTGCAACGCTTATGCGCTTTGTTTGCTTCGATGCCAACCAAACAGTGAGGCTCACTCCTGTGATGTGACAGTCGATCTCTGCACCACATTGATTTTTATCGTTGTGCATTGGCTAGGTCATTACCTTTTCAAACGAACATGGGGGTGTTTCGTGTGGCTGATGTTCGCTCTCAGTTTGTTAACTAGTCAAACTTGCTGAGGGTCAGCGGAATTGGTTCGTGTGCAGCAGGAGGTCTTCAATGCCGCACGACGAGGACAGTAGGATAATTTCAGACAAGTCTGGAACAGGCATAGTAACCGGTTCAGGGCATACGGTCTCCAATACAAGGGATGTGTGTGAAACAACGGCAGTGCCTGAGCAGTATTTTGGTGAGAGTTCAAGTGAAGTGCAGTCTCCCAAAGGGGAGCGGCAAAGTCGTTTTCTGAACACAGTCATGTCTTCAAGGCTACTATTCCATAGTTCGCATATGGGACATGTTGGCACATGCATCGTGTTGCTTACGAGGGCGTTTTGCACGTCAATCCGGGAATGTTGCCATGCTTATGGCATGGCAGTTGGTGTTCGAGATGGTCCCAAGACCGTCTCGCGAGTTGCGCCGTCATATCACTTCGGTTTCGACCATTCCGTACCATGTTTGTTATAGACAATTGGAGCACAATGATGAGACACATGAGAAAGAGGAGCGTGGAGAGGATCCATTCGGTTGTTACTCAGAGTTTCTTGACCAGTGTGGGGGGGAGGTGCCAGTTCGCAGACGAAGTATCGACGACCCCCGTCGGCGCATCTCAGCCACCGCAACAACCAGACCTTAGTCCCGAGCGCGCGGATGAGTTGAGGTTGACACCTGTCGGGGGGGCCTCATGCTTGTATATCATGTGCTGGAGTATCGGGGCTCCGGTCCCACTGGCGGTACACCTTCCCGGATTTCGCCCCCCCCCCCCCCCCCAACACCACTTTTCGAGAACCCCCCGCAGGTGCATCCTGAGCATCTCCCCGGCCGCCCAAGCTCTGGGGAGCACGACTCAGCGACAAGAGCGGCGCGATGGGGCAAAAGACTGTCCAAGATGGCCTGAAGACGGCCGATGAGCTCCCGAAAGGCGCCCAAGACGCCCCAAGAAGGCTCCAAGGTGCTCCCCAAGAGGCCAGGGATGGCCAACATTACCCCAATCCATCAGGGGAGGCCAAACGTGCTACAGAACAGACGTACCCTGGAGAGGGGACCTCAGGGCCCACCTCGGGGCACCCAATGTTGGCGTCTTGGCGCCCACCGAGGCTGGAACCGTGGCCGATGCGACACCGCACTGGGAGTATGTCGTTCTGGGGATACGTTTGGCCCTTCCCAAATCTAGTAGCAAAGCTGATGTCTTCAGCAAATTGTTCGTCCAGGTCTTAACAGCGTTCAAGACGGCCCAGGAGGCCCCCAAGATCGCCCCAGCACAGTCCGTAGCAATTTTGGCTCAAGCCATTTTGGCTGCTCAAGTCGCGCTCGGCCTGCGCACTCTACGCTGCACCACACATGCACGTATTGAGCTACCAGCCCAAATCGGTCCTTTAGTTTTCTGATTTGCAGGATGGTAGCAGACTGGCATATCGGGACCATGCTCCTGGTCTGGCAGGTCGGGACCATGTTTCTTGTGGTGTTCGCCATCAGCATGCCCATCTCAGCATCGCTCAAGACGCAGACCTTCACCAACACCTCGCAAGCGGCTGGCTCAGGAGCGTCATGCACGTTGGCCGACACCGACGCCTCTGCCTGCCAGGACAAAGACGGCATCTTGTTCAACCCGGTGACGAACGGAGACGGGAGCGTTCAGATGTTGGTGTTCGTTTTCTGGAGCGGGCAGTGGGGCACGGTGTGCGACGATGTCACGGAGTGCGACGCGCGCGGCGGAGGGACCAGTCCGTGCTCAACGTCAACGTCGCCTGAGGTCAGCAGCCGGCGGCAGTCGTGTGCCGGGAGCTCGGCCTGGACGCGGACGGAGCCCAGGAGTACAATGCCAATGGGGGTGGCTCAGGGTACCCGATCCACGTTGACGGCACGAGCAACCACATCAGCGGCTGCGCGGGCACGGAGGCGGCCCTTGCAGATTGCGCGTGGCTCCACTACGGCAGCCACAACTGCGGGCACAGCGAGGACGTGGGCGTCATATGGCAGCATGCCTGCCCAATGAGCAGCCCGACGCCTTCGCAAACGCCTGTTCCGACGTCTCCTCCAACGCCTCCTCGAACGCCTGCTCAAACGATGGCGCCAGCGAGCTCGGCTTCTGTCACTGGCGACCCCCACCTGACTAACGTTTACGGCCAGAAGTTCGACTTGATGAAGCCTGGCGAGCACGTTATGATAAACATCCTCCGTGGAGAGCCCGCGGAGAACGCCTCATGCGCGCGCAGGCCCTTGCTCAGCGACTGGGTGACCAGTGCGGGGAGATGTATTTCCAATAAGTGAAAGTTACCGGGTCTTGGGCAGAGGCAACACAAGCGGGAGGGTATCATTACAGCATTTCGCAAAGCGCGGTTGAGACTCCAGAATGGGTCGCTTTGGGCGAGGTGGAGTTGTGGTTCAAGGACGTACGCACGTTGGCATGAAGTATTTCAACGTGTACGTGAATGGCTTGGGGCGAGCGGGGTTTGTTGTGGGAGGTCTACCAGGGGAAGACGGTCACGCAGACGCAACACAGGTTCCGGCGTCATGCCACAGGCAAGTTGTTTAAGATGGGAATGCGGACGACCAGGATTCGTTGAGCATCACCTGGTCATCCGTGTCGTCAAGCTTCGCGTCATTCGCAGCTGCAAGCTTGGAGTGAGCGTGCGTTCGATTTGCGACATAATATTGTGCCTTTTATGTTTCTGGTTTTTGACATACAAAGAGGACTGGCATCACAGCTATCCTCCACCCTGGAGTCTCCTCCCTCTCCTCGCTCCTCTTATCTGCCCCATCCTCGCTCCTCATCTTCACTTCAGAGAGGTAGCATGCGTGTGCATGCCCGATCTTGTCGCACGTGCTCGTTGCGAGTGACCCTAGGCTGCCCTGTCTAGCCACCGTGCACGCTGTTCAAAAAACACGCAGCATGTTTGGTCCAAGAGGCGCCCAGGCTGGGCCAAGAGGACGCCAAGAGAGGGAATTCCAACTTACATGTCGAGCCCTCCGCCACAAGTGGGCCCCCCAGGCCCTCAAGAGGCCCCCAATGGCTCCAAAAGATGCTCTAAGCGGCTCCCAAACGACCCTCGAGAGGCCCCAAAGAAGCTTCAGAACTTGCTCCACGAGAGGCCGGAGAAGCATGCTAAGACACTCCGAATTACAGGTATCCACGAACCTTCTGGCCCCAATTTCAGGCACTGTGGCGGTATGGGCCGAAGGCCATAGGTCCGCCGCCTTCTGTTGATTCATCAAAGGGGTGCCTGGCGTGCTGGACCCTCTCGGTTTTGGTTTTGGTTCTTTTTCCAAAAGAACTCCCCTTGGGGCTTCGGCCCATTCCGCCGGCCACCCGGAAGAGATGGTTGCCAACGCCTAAAACGACCGTTTCGCTCGGGACATCCTCATAACATCGCGAAGATGGCCCAAGATGGCCTCCAAGTCCGCCCAAGATGGTCCAAGACGGCCTCCAAGACGGCCCAAGAGCGTCCAAGACGGCCCAAGACGGCCCAAGAGGCTCCCCAGAGGCCTCCAAGACGGCCCAAGAGGCCTCCAAGAGGTCCTCCTGGAGTGCCCGAAGAGGCCAAAAATACAGATTTTCGAAAGGTTTTTGAAGGATTTTGGCATTCGCTTCTTCTCTGCTTTCCGACGACCCATCACGGCCCAGGAGGCCCCCACAGCGCCCCCACAGCGCCCAAGAGGCCTCCAAGATGGCCTGAGGACTGCCCAAGAGGCCACCAAGACAGCCCCAAGAGGGCACAAAGACGACCCAAGAGCCCTCCAAGACGCCCAATATGGCCTCTAAGACGGCCCTGGAGCACCCCAACAGGACCCCACGTCGGCCCAGAATGGCTATTTGCTTCTTCTCGGCATTCCGACCGCTCAAGACGGCCCACGAGGCCCCCAAGATCGCCCAGGAGGCCCCCAAGAGGGCCCTATGACGGCCCAAGTGGCCTCCAAGACGGTCCCAAGAGGGCCCCAAGACGGCCCAAGAGGCCTCCAACACGCCCAAGATGGCCTCCAAGACGCCCAAGATGGCCTCCAAGACGGCCCCGAAGCGCCCCAAGAGGGCCCCCGGTCGGCCCAGAAAGGCCCCCAAGACGGCTCCCGACGGCGTCAGACGTGCCAGGAACCCACCAAGATGGCCGAAGTTGGCTCGAAGCTGGCCCAAGACGGCCCAAGAGGTCCTCCAGGAAGGCCAGAAGAGGCCAAACACCTTGATGCTCCTAAGGTGTTTGATTGATTTTGGCATTTCCTTCTTTTCTGCCTTCCGACGGCCCGAGACTGCCCAAGAGCCCCCAAAGATCGCCGAAAGATCGCCCAAGGGACCTCCAAGATGGCCCCAGAACGGCCCAAGAGGGCCCCGAGACGGCCCCAAGAGGCCCCCAAGACGGCCCCAAGAGGCCTTAAGACGCCCAAGATGGCTTCCAAGACGGCCCTGGAGCATTCCAAGAGGGCCCCAAGTCGGCCCATAGGCCCCCCCAATGGCTTCCGACGGCGTCAGACGGACCAGGAGCCCACCAAGACGGCCGAAGATGGCCCTAAGATGGCCCAAGACGGCCCAAGAGGCCTCCAAGAGGGCCTCCAGGAAGGCTCGAAAAGGCCAACATTAGTAATTTCCCATGAATTTTTGAAGGATTGTGGCCTTTGCTTTTTTTCTGCCTTCCGACGGCCCGAGACGGCCCAAGTGCCCCCAAGACGCGGCTTCAAGACGGCCCAAGAGGCCTCCAAGACGCTCAAGATGGCCTCCAAGACGGTCCAAGAGCTCTCCAAGACGTCCTCCAAGAAGGCCCGCAAGGTTCAAAATGGCCTCCAGGCGGCCAAGATGACCTTCAAGATGCCCACGTGTTCCCCGAAGGCTTTCCAAACCGATTCGGGGAACACATGGTCCGATAGCTTGGCAGGTCTGGCCTCAACTTTCGGCCACAGGGGCGCTTCCCAAAAGGCAGGGGGCGGCGGTGATTCGCCGTAGGCGTCTTCGATCCGCCGCCCCCCGTCGATTCATCGCAGGGGTCCCTGGCGTGCTAAATTATTTCGGTTTTGGTTTGGGTTTTTGTCCAATTATCCCGGCAAAGCAACCTAACAGCGATGTGTAGGAGCATATCTGGAAGCATCCCCCTTCAGATTCAGATGAGAATCCAGTTGTAGAGTTCTGCTGTTCTCGCAGTCGTAGTCGCATTCGCGATGACAGTCGCAGTGGCCTGCATTAGCCTCAGCCTCAGCCTCAGCCTGCCTCAGCATCAGCCTCAGCCTCAGCTTCAGCCTGCCTCAGCCTCAGCCTGCATCAGCCTCAGTCTGCCTGCAGCCTCGGCCTCAGCCTCAGCCTCAGCCTGCCTGCCTCAGCCTCAGCCTCAGCCTCAGCCTCAGCCTCAGCCTCAGCCTCCTCAGCCTCAGCCTCAGCCTCAGCCTCAGCCTCAGCCTGCCTCAGCCTCAGCCTCAGCCAGCCTCAGCCTCAGCCTCAGCCTCAGCCTGCAGCCTCAGCCTCAGCCTCAGCCTCAGCCTGCCTCAGCCTCAGCCTCAGCCTCAGCCTGCCTCAGCCTCAGCCTCAGCCTGCAGCCTCAGCCTCAGCCTCAGCCTCAGCCTCAGCCTCAGCCTGCATCAGCCTCAGCCTCAGCCTCAGCCTCAGCCTCAGCCTGCCTCAGCCTCAGCCTCAGCCTCAGCCTCAGCCTGCTTCAGCCTCAGCCTCAGTCTGCCTTCAGCCTCGGCCTCAGCCTCAGCCTGCCTCAGCCTCAGCCTGCATCAGCCTCAGCCTCAGCCTCAGCCTGCCTCAGCATCAGCCTGCCTCAGCCTCAGCCTCAGCCTGCCTCAGCCTCAGCCTCAGCCTGCTTCAGCCTCAGCCTCAGTCTGCCTTCAGCCTCGGCCTCAGCCTCAGCCTGCCTCAGCCTCAGCCTGCATCAGCCTCCTCAGCCTCAGCCTCCTCAGCCTCAGCCTGCCTCAGCCTCAGCCTCAGCCTGCCTCAGCCTCAGCCTCAGCCTCAGCCTTTCAGCCTCAGCCTCAGTCTGCCTTCAGCCTCGGCCTCAGCCTCAGCCTGCCTCAGCCTCAGCCTGCATCAGCCTCAGCCTCAGCCTCAGCCTGCCTCAGCATCAGCCTGCCTCAGCCTCAGCCTCAGCCTGCCTCAGCCTCAGCCTCAGCCTGCTTCAGCCTCAGCCTCAGTCTGCCTTCAGCCTCGGCCTCGGCCTCGGCCTCAGCCAGCCTCAGCCTCAGCCTGCTTCAGCCTCAGCCTCAGCCTCAGCCTGGCTCAGCATCAGCCTGCCTCAGCCTCAGCCTCAGCCTGCCTCAGCCTCAGCCTCAGCCTGCTTCAGCCTCAGCCTCAGTCTGCCTTCAGCCTCGGCCTCAGCCTCAGCTGCCTCAGCCTCGGCCTGCATCAGCCTCAGCCTCAGCCTCAGCCTGCCTCAGCATCAGCCTGCCTCAGCCGCAGCCTCAGCCTGCCTCTGCCTCAGCCTCAGCCTCAATCTGCCTTCAGCCTCGGCTTCAGTCTCAGCCTGCCTCTGCCTCAGCCTGCATCAGCCTCAGCCTCAGCCTGCCTCAGCCTCAGCCTGCCTCAGCCTCAGCCTCAGCCTCAGCCTGCCTCAGCCTCAGCCTCAGCCTGCTTCAGCCTCAGCCTCAGTCTGCCTTCAGCCTCGGCCTCAGCCTCAGCCTGCCTCAGCCTCAGCCTGCATCAGCCTCAGCCTCAGCCTGCCTCAGCATCAGCCTGCCTCAGCCTCAGCCTCAGCCTGCCTCAGCCTCAGCCTCAGCCTCGGCCTGCTTCAGCCTCAGCCTCAATCTGCCTTCAGCCTCGGCTTCAGTCTCAGCCTGCCTCAGCCTCAGCCTGCATCAGCCTCAGCCTCAGCCTCAGCCTGCCTCAGCCTCAGCCTGCATCAGCCTCAGCCTGCTTCAGCCTCAGCCTCAGCCTGCATCAGCCTCAGCCTGAGTCTGCCTTCAGCTTCGGCCTCAGCCTCAGCCTGCCTCAGCCTGCCTCAGCCTCAGCATCAGCCTGCCTCAGCATTCAAAATGTGGCCAGGGAATGGAATTCTGGGAACTCGAAGAACACGAAGTGGCCTACAGTTTGCTCCGGGCATTCAAAATCATACCCAGGAATGGAGTTCTGGGAAGTCCAAGAGCACGAAGTGGCCTACAGTTGGCTCCGGGCATCCAAAATGTGGCCCGGGAATGGAGTTCTGGGAACTCGAAGAGCACGAAGTGGCCTACAGTTGGCTCCGGGCATCCAAAATGTGGCCCGGGAATGGAGTTCTGGGAACTCGAAGAGCACGAAGTGGCCTACAGTTGGCTCCGGGCATCCAAAATGTGGCCCGGGAATGGAGTTCTGGGAACTCGAAGAGCACGAAGTGTGTGACTGTTGCATCCGGTTATTCAGAATGTGGCCTGGGAATGGGGTTCTGAGAGGTCGACGAGCACGAAGTGTGTGACTGTTGGTGAAAAACGAGCCCGGCACAGGCCCGGCCGGCAACTCCCAACGCCTGCCCGGACCCCCCTGTGGAGTGATCTGTGAGCTCTTTTGGGTCAACTAGAAACCTATCAGTCTACGCTGTTAGGTAAAAAAACTCCCCCTGGGGCTTCGGCCCGTCCCGCCGGGGTCCCGGGAAATACCTCAATCCGGAAACAAATCCTCCATGACGGCTGAGGATGGCGCCAAGATGGCCACGTTGGCCCAAGATGGCCTCCAAGATGGTTCAAGATGGCCTCCAAGTCCGCCCAAGATGGTCCAAGACGGCCTCCAAGACGGCCCAAGAGCGTCCAAGACGGCCCAAGACTGCCCAAGAGGCTCCCCAGAGGCCTCCAAGACGGCCCAAGAGGCCTCCAAGAGGTCCTCCAGGAGTGCCCGAAGATGCCAAAAACACTTTTTTCGAAAGGTTTTTGAAGGATTTTGGCATTCGCTTCTTCTCTGCTTTCCGACGACCCATCACGGCCCAGGAGGCCCCCAAG